ACACACACACACACACATACACACACACACACGCACACTCACACCATAAGCAAAACAAATAAAATAAACAAACATAAATAAAAATCAACAAATCAACAAATCAACAACAACAAATACAACCAAACAGATAACCAAACATACAAAAAACAAACAAACGAACTAACAAACAAAAAAACAACAACAAACAAACAAACAAACAAAACATTATAGAAATGTTTAAAAATATACACCAGTATAAATAAGGAAGTGCTTCTCTTTCTAAAGTGCTCCAGAACGGCTGCGCCTTCAAGCTCACTAATTTTATTTGTCGTATGACCAGAGTCTCGTCCCTACTAAGTTAGGCTTTGAGACAGACGGCTGTGGTGACGTCAAGACACCCAACATGAACGCGTCCTAAACCTGACGCTCCACAGCCTTGACCATAAGTGTCACGACAAGGTGGGGGTCAGGCGCTCGTCAATTTTTGGGCATGTGGAGTTATTGCTATTGTCTTAAAGCAAATTTATTTACCTTGCTTTCTATGAAAAAATGCCCATCTATCTTGAATAGAAGTCAAGATATTTGCAATTGAAGGAGGTGGGGGTAGCCTGGTTTTAGAGATAAAATTAGCAAGAAAATAGCCGATTACGTTTAGTAACTTTAATAGCTTGAGAATCCTTGAAAACTAAAAAAAAAAAAATATTTTCCAAACTTTAGGAAAAATGTCCATTTCTTTGATTTCATTATTTTGACGAACGCCTGATCTTACCACTTTGCCTCACAACGAAAGAGACCCTACTCCAGTGGGTGGATGGTGGGTGCTCTGATGTGATTTTTCTCCTTTTTCCCGATTAAACATTTACATTATCCTTATCTCTCCTCCATCTTGTCTTTGTACATTTACTCTACAGTCCCCACCTCTAATCTTCGGCGCGTTTATGTGACTTATTAGTGTTGCAAGTGCTGTAAAAGTTTTTCTACAAACTTACAACTAAACTCTGCTTCTACTAAAGTACAGCCCCCCTTCCCACCTGATGACCCGTGCGTACGGCGGTCAATCGAGTAGAACGGACACCAAGGCCCGGCAACTTGTCGCTCTATTGATCCGTCGTCGTCTGCTCTTTCAGCTTATAATCCAGGTCGTTTTTCATAAGGCTGATATACAGTTATTTCGGTTAAAATATCGTGGATTTGTTTGTATCACCAACCCTCCACCCCTTCTACACTCTAAAGAACTCTCTCTCTCTCTCTCTCTCTCTCTCTCTCTCTCTCTCTCTCTCTCTCTCTCTCTCTCTC